GATTACTCTGGATTTGATTCTATGTTAGCTCTGGATTTTATCGCTATGAAATTACTCTTATGGAGTTCCTTAACTTGGTCTAAACAAATCCGACCTTTTTTTTAATTACCAATCAACTGATTCTGGAAACTGGCAGCAGTAGTAATAAATCTACCATGATCAAGAACAAAACGTAGGTAGACAAGAAAGAAACACCTTTGATTTTTATTCATAAATAAATATACAGACATATGACAATATAGCAACACTGTATGCATCTAGTACCTTCGATTTCTATCTTCGTATATCTACCATAGATCACGTACTTCATTAACTCCTCTGCAAATTGATATGCATTCATTCAATTTATCCACTCTGTTCCGATTCTGAAAAGTGCTTCACACCTGTTGTTTAGCATGAAATAATAATACGTGAGATGGTTCATTCATATATGAGAGTCTCGCTTTACTTTGTGTATATTCAATGAGCTAAAGCATCAACAACAGCTTTCTTTCTTCCATTCAAAAAGATAGAGAAATGGTTTTTTACTAACCATATTTTGGGGGATTTTGACGAGAACAAATGAGAAAAAGTAGAGACAAGTGCAGATTACGAGTGCTGAGATCGTGTTGTAGACAAGGCGTTTGTCGTCCTTGGTTGGTATGAAGGCTGTTTTCAAAGTGTTGGTAAGCTCGAAGAGCCTATAAGAGATCTGAAACAGAGCAACAAAATCAGTTTGTTCTATTTCTTTCTTTTTCGGCCTTTCAAATCGTTTGCAAATGTTGTAGCAGAGTTTACTTACAGCAACATAAATCGAAGTTGTGAGCATAAAGTTCAACAATGGATAATCCGGGATAAGAGATAGTAGTAATTTGGGTTGGCCATCAGGAACGCCAGATCTGTAAGTTCATTAGAAGATTTCAAAGCTCAATGGCTTGAGACAAATATTAAGACTTTATTGTATTGGCATTCTGAACCATTAATTTCCAGCTTATGTTACAATTGAGAACATGGACAAGAAGAAGCTTCACATACCTGAGCCATATATGAAACTGGGAGATATATGTCTCCAGTGTTATCTTCCCAAGCCACCTGAAAGTTCATGAACAAAATAAAATTTCTGAAGAAATCGAAATAAGAGGACGAATATGACTAATGACTAAAATATTTTACTTACGCCAGAAGGGTCAAACTGTAGCCACGGAAAGACTGGGTGATGTTCCGGAGACAGATATAAACACTGAAAGGAGCGCAAAAATGAGATACGCAAGTTAGGACTGGTTTTTGGAAGATTCATTGTACAGATAGAGCTTTGCAAGTAAAATGAAGTACGTTATTGGAATCCAAGAGGTGTAAGGATGATATTTGTTGTAAGTTAACTTGTCCAGCTTGTATATGTACTCGTACCAAAAATATCCCGCCTGAAAGTTTCATAATAACAAAGACAGATTAGCTGGAAGAACAATATGTAAGGCTTCTTTGACCTGGAAGAAGTGAAATGATGACTTGTTATACCGTTAGTGCTATAAGTGCCACAGTTGTTTTGATAGCCATCCTGAACTTTATATCAGCTTCCTCCAGTTTATCCATCCAACTTTCAACCTATAAGATACATAATCAAGGAAATGAAGGACGAAATAACGGTTAGTCTTTATCACTTAGCTAACCATTTGTGAATTTCAAGTTAAGTATTGGGGACTTACAGTTGGGTGGTAGTATGCATATAGCATCCCAATTATCCATATGTACCGATCAAGGCCCGAGCGGAAATGCCACTCATGCAAAAGGGGAAGCTGCGGTTTTGAGGGATCATTGTAACCTGCAATTGTTGTTTTTCGAGTTTCTTAAAAACAGTTGTCTCGTTACCACATTTGTTTTTCATGGGAAACAAAGATTTGGGCCTGCACTAACCCATTAGGAGTGTAAATGGACTCCAAATCCATTCAAAAACGCCGGGAATTTCCCAAACGACGATGACAACTAAGAAGCTAACAACAATTTTGGCAGCTATGACTGAACCCATCTCATTATACTTGTTCATAATACCAAGTGCTCCGTAGACCATCAGAGTAAACAGAGTGTGCATTGGGCAGATGTAGTATAGCATGTAACTGTTGTTGAGGACGATGCAGGAGAATATAACCAGAAAATTTAGCCGCCACATCATCTGTAGAACAAGAACATGTTAGAATCTAAAGCTAGATATATGGGGAGAAAAAAGCCGGGAGGACATAGCTGTTACCTGTGCAAACCTTGCAAGACTAAAGTCCTTGCGAATGTAATAATAAGAGAAATTTCCAAATCCAGTCATCCATACATAGCAAGCAATGAAAACACGGATTGCATTGTAGTACTCTGCAGCAGCAAAGTAGTGGTACATCAAAAAGAGGACCTACAACACCAAAAAAAAAGAGAACAATGATAAGATAACAGCAGATGAAAAGGCACATGAAGCAATGAATACCAGATGCGTCTTTGAAAACTGAAAGAACAGACATGTACCAAATCAAGCCACTAGCATAATAGATAAATGACAAACCTGCATCCAGCCTTTCCACTCCTCAGTTTGATGCCTATTCAAGTACATGATGGATTTTCCGCTGACTGCTGATTTATCATTATGTATCGTGAAAGATGTTATTGCTGAAACGATGATGAGAAGGAAGTAAAGGAACAGAAAGAGATCCCGGTTGTAACTCTGTATCAAAAGACACACAATATAAGCGAGTCAGACACGTAGAAGAATGAACCAACATAAGCAGGATATTCATCATGACATACCAAATTCACAATCTTATTGGGTCTAATCTTTCCATATAGCATTATACCAACTTGAATGATTAAAAATAAGAGCATATAAGATGTTACTGAACAATGTATAGCCTCTGTAACAACTACATAGATAAACCTTTCCAGAATCTACTAAGCAGATTTCAAATAAGATATCATCATCATCACCTTCTTCGATGAACTGAAGACATCCGTGCGGTCACATATGTAAAAGTATGCCATAAGTACTCCAAACTCAATTCTACATGCAAAACAAAATAATGGGAGTATTCAATATTGCATCTTTTTGAACACACAAAAACTTCACTCTGCAAAACGGACACCAATACTCACATTGCTCTTAACGTCAGCCTGTTCTCGAGCAAGAACGACTCATCCAAGAGGGCAAACCTGCGTAGAACCCAGCATAAGCATAAGAAAAAACGGTAGATCTCTCACTGGTTGGTTCAGGAGAACACTAATGAAAACCTGATGAGAGGAGAATATGCAGACGAGCCCTTGGCTTTAGGAGAAGCTGATTGGAGACCACCACCATCTTCTAATAAAAGAGCTTTGTCATCTTCTTTCACAAAATCTTTAGCAACCTCCACCAAATTGACATCAGAGTGCCTACTAACATACACACAAACACAAGTTAAAAAATCAATACGAAACTAAAAGCAAAAAACTCAATCATCAATTCACTTATATATCATCAACACGTACGCTTTGGCAGAGATCGAATGTTTGGTATAGTGCAGATACTCCGAGTAAACCCAAGCCACGATCACCGGCACAATCCCTAGCACCACCGACATCTGCAAATTTTTCCGGGAAACAGCACAAATCACTCTCGTATCACTACCAAAGCCAACAAGAACTCAATAGAAGAAGGTAAATTCTCAGAAAAAGCTAAATGAGCAAGATCTAATCCAAACAACTAAAAGCTTAAACAGCAACAAGAACAACAAATTCGATCATAAAACGTACTAGCCCAGGCGTAACAGGGCTTGAAATCGCCATTTCCGATCAGAGAAAGAACGACCGAGCACGATAATCAAACGGATTCAAACTCGAAAACACTCGTTAGTTTCCAAATTTGGACTTTGCTCGATACGCTTCGCTCCTGAAACCAGATCTGGTAAGATCTCGAGATCAAAATGGAGAAGAGAAACAAGCAATGGATCTAAGAATAGATCATAGTGCTCTCTTTCGTACCTAATGCCTCACAGAGATAAGCTTGAAAAGGAACGAGTGAACTGTGTAATGCGAAATAGTTTGAGCGGTTCGCTCATTGCATTAATAATTTCGATTCTCCAAACAAAAAATTACTAACCGACATTTTGAATAAAAGACAATAAATTAGTGAAAATACCATCTTTCGTTTTTTTGCAAGGATACAAAAAAGGTTAGTTATAATGAGTTTGTGTGATTTTAAACGTGTTACTAAATCTATGTAACGAGACAATCTATTTTGTTTTACTCTCACTGCCTCGCTGGATTTTACATTTTGATTCTATAACATTTTTGTATATATAGATCCAATATTAGAATTAAGAAGATATTTATTGATGCAAACTTGATTTGTAAATTTGAAGAACTCATGTACGATTTTTTCCCCGATTTTGTGTGACATGTAACGTTTTAAACCTTATCTCAGTGTGCTCTAAAGATTAAAAATGAGTGGATGGTTTTAGATCACAATGATCAATAATGAAGTGTATCGTATGAATCCCCCATATCTAATAACGTACCAGCACATTTTTTGGGAGATTTGTAAGCTATCGTATTTTTGTGTGCAAGGCATTTAGCAATTAAACCTTAATTTATTTTTCATTTAAACAAAAAACTAATAATTACGAGGTTAATGCGATTCGGGCGTACGTGTGTGAATTCAGATTGTTTGTCAACGACGCGTTACTTTGTAATAAAACATTGGAATTCTAATATTCACCGACTTTTTATTTAGCCTCGTATTCGGTCCGACTATACTAGTTGATTTCATGATCTATTTTTTTTGTTTTTGTTGTTGGAAAAAATCCATGTATATTTTGACTTAGCAAGTTCATGATATTTGATCTCCATCATATATTATAAAGTGATCCATATTTGATCAAATCATTTCATATTCTTCTACAGACTAGTGTATATTATCATTCTTTTGTCCTTCTTGGTCAACACTTATCAATTCTTAAATAAAAATTGCCCTTCCTGATTCCTATTGGGGATAGACCAACCTTAATTAGGTAAAAATTCAAGATAAAATCTGCATAAGAAGAAACACAAGGATAGCTTTTTTGTTTTGTTTTGTCAAACACGACTAAAAGTTTGCGATTAAAGAAGGGATACATTTAAAATGCTTAAAACAGAGTTTTGGAAATGATGTTTGTTTACTAGAAAACTAAAAAGTATATGCAATTTATATGAAAAACCTAAAAAAGACAGCTAATATTATTTCTACAAAGCATATTAAACACTAATTTATTATTATTGACAGTGACCTAATGATCGAAAAGTTCGTCCTAAAATTTAACAATTATGGTTCGAATTTTAACATAACGGTGGTTTTAACCATTGAGATAATGTGACTTTTCTACCAATTTAAGTGAGTTTGGGTCCATAACTTTTCAGTTAATAAACCAAATAACTCAAATTAAATATGCGACAAGTGAGGAATGTATGGTCCCAAAATGCCTCTGTTTCCTCGCACCATTGAAAAACCAAGCAAAAGTGAGCTCAACTAAGACAAAAGCAGCCTCGTAACATCATGTTCGTCAATAAATAAATCATGTTCGTCTTGTCCTTTTTGCCGAGCCGTCCTCCTCCTCCTCGTCAAGTCTCGACTTGTTTTGTTTTGTTGACATGGACGTATTTCAAGCTTCCTTTTGGAAACTCGCTTCTTGATTTGCACTTGCCCTAAACTAGGAACATAGGAGCACACATAAGCATGGTCATCACACCCGGCGGGAACACGTTCGATGAGGGGATCCACATCGACTTGTGTGAAGAATCCGGGCTCTCCAATGATGTTAAGCGTGTGGCGAGTGTCATCGCCTTTATCGAAAACCACGGCGACTTTCTTGTCCTCGTCAACAAAGAAACCCGAGGATGGAAAATAAATATCCGCGGCTGGTCCCGTATCGACTTTGAAGAACTTGCTCCACGACACGTTATTGGGGTCAATCGTAGTGGTAACCCATACCTCAACCTCCCAAGGATGTTGAATTGTAACAAAAGGGAAAGCTTTGAGACAAGATAGAAGCCCCAACACATCACGATCCTCATGGGAGGGAAACGGCAGAGGGAGAAGGGGCCCAAATCTCTCGCTTGTAAAATCAAAACAGATTAAGCGATGATGAACTCCTTGGTAGTTTGAGTTTCTATGTTTAGCAAGCCAGTAAGTGTTTCCATTGAGAGGAACACCATCATCATAAAACACTATATACCAGTGTGGAGTACCGACATCGAGAGTCCTCCATAAACCAGCGTCCTAATGATCTTGGTTTTGGTTCATCGGAATAACGATATAATCATCCATAAACCTTAAGATTTTGTGGGATTTCTTGTCATTATCGTACCCCAAAGCGTACCTATATCTGTCAATCCCATAAGAATAACTAGGTGGCTCGATCCACCTTGTTTGGCCCAAATACGCATAACAATAACCCACGGCAGTGAAAGACTTTGATTATCTTTACTTGTTGATCTGAATCATCTAAGCTTAGGCGACTAAGTTTACCTTTAGACTCTGTAGTTGGATGATCAACGTCGGCGACGACCACACTGATTAAATGAAGATTGAAATCCATTATCAAGACCATCCGAGACTCCCATGCTGCAATTCGTTACACATCGATAAATCGTGTTCAAACTTTTGCATGTTAGCCGCACTGCTCTCATATATTTCAGAGGAACTCTACAGACAATCTCCCTTAGTAGATCCTCAGGAAGATCAGAGATGGTCGTCGTCATTGAGAAATGAGTGGAACTCTACAGACAATCTCTTCTTCGTTATATTCGAAATGGGCTTTATGTTGGGCTTCACAAAAAGCCTCGATCAATCCTTGATTCCACGTGTCAATGATTTGGTGGGGTAAGTCTAATGTGCGCTGGATAAAGACAATTTTAGTCGTTTCAAGTTCAAAAATCAAAAACCGAAGAGAAGAAGAGACACTACAGAACCGGCGGAATCACCAATTTCTTTTTTTCTTTTTTTTCCTCCAAATATTTTCTCGGAAAATCTCACATTCCTGGAAACGAGAAGGCGGGAAGAGAGAGATCATATATAGAGGTTAGACCCTTTTTCCAAAAATCTACTAAGTTTTTTTCCTTGTGTATGGCGGATTATGCAAAACGTCAATCGCCGCGATTCTTCTTCTCTAAACGCAGATTTCGCGTTTTCTCGCTATCCAATAACACATTCTTCGTGCGTCCTCTTCGCAGGGTCTTTGTTCTTCCTGACATTACGGCTCTGGTCGTGTCCCCTGCTTTTCCTCTTTCCATGTCTGAAATGGAAGAAGAAAGTTCGATTTCGCTTCGTCAGGTAAATTAGGTTTTACTGTATATTTTCATCACTAAGAATAAGAAGACTTCGATTAAATAACCAGATTTCATTTTCTTTTTGAAAAAATTCGTAAGCTTATGGCTAATGAAGGACTTGTTCCGTCTCTCGAAGATGAAGAGAAACGAAGAGTTGTGATTAGTAAGCTACAAAAGGTACATTCAAACTCGATCATGTTTTTGTTTATGGAGTTATAGAGTAATGTCGCTGAGCTTTTTTAATGATGAACAGATTGTAGTGAAATGGATTAAGAAGGTTGCTTGGCAACGCCGTCTCCCGAATCACCAGATTGCAGCCACAAACGCTACAATAATAGCTTATGGATCTTATGGTCTTGGGGTGATTATCTTTTACTTTCAAAGAACTCTTCTTAATTAATATGAGTCTGCAAATTGGGACTTGCCTGGTGAATCTAGAGTTCAATGCTATGTACACGTTTTAGCTAACTATAATTGTTGTCCTTGTTATACAGGTTCATGGTTCTGAATCAGACATTGATGCTCTGTGCATTGGTCCTTTCTTTGCCTCTATAGCCGTGAGTTCACCAGTTTTGTTGAATGATTCAGTTACTTTTTTTTTTTTTGTCCAGAAAGAACATGATTGTTATCTCATTGGTTACAGGAGGACTTTTTCATTGTCTTGCGTAACATGTTGAAAAGCAGACCAGAAGTTTCCGAGGTTCTTTGTGTTAAAGACGCGAAAGTTCCTCTTATCCGCTTTAAATTCGATGGGATCTTGGTCGATCTTCCATATGCTCAGCTTAGAGTACTATCCATTCCAAATGTTAGTTTTCAGTAACTTTCTAAGTTCTTGTTTACTTGGAAAAAAAAATTCTAGTATCTTGTTCAATATTTAACTGTGGGCTCTTCAGGATGTAGATGTGCTTAATCCATTCTTTTTGAGGAATATTGATGAGACAAGTTGGAAAAGCTTGTCTGGAGTTCGTGCAAATAAATGCATACTTCAAATAGTGCCTTCCTTGGAGGTAACACTGATACCACAATGGCTTTGATTATTTCCTCAAATTTTCAGTGTTCATTAAATAGCTTCTTCCTGTTTTAGTTATTCCAATCATTGTTGCGGTGTGTCAAATTATGGGCGAAGAGGCGAGGTGTATACGGTAATGTAAGTGCTAAACGCCTTTCCTTGCTATATTTCCCAATGAAATGCAGAAGTTTAATCCATTTTGATTTCACTTGTTTTAGTTGAATGGATTCTTTGGAGGAGTTCATATGGCTATTCTTGCTGCTTTTGTTTGTCGATATGACCCGGAGGCTACTTTGAGTTCCCTTCTGGCAATATTCTTCACTACATTTGCTTATTGGCAATGGCCTACACCGGTGGTGCTGCTAAAGGACACTTATCCAGCTACCGGGTCTCCTCCAGGCTTAATGCCCATCCAATTGCCGTGCGGTTCACATCAATACTGCAATTCCAACATAACAAGGAGCACATTTTACAAGATAATGGCAGAGTTTCTCCGAGGGCATAATTTGACAAAGGTGAGCGTTTAGCTTTCTCAGTCTTCCATCTAACCAAGTAGTGGTCTCTGTAGAGTAATGTGCATTGGCTTTTACCAATGTAATGCCATATTCTTTCCATTTACAATTCATGCTATATTCCAAACCAACGTATTTGGTCATTCCCACACAATGGCACTAACTATTGTGGAATGCAGGACTACTTGAAGCCAAACTTCAATTGGAAGAATTTGTTTGAGCCATTTCCATATGCAAATACGTACACTTGGTTTGCTAAGATACACCTCTCAGCTGCTAATCAGGAAGATCTCAGTGATTGGGTTGGTTGGGTTAAGTCACGATTCCGCTGTCTTCTGATCAAGGTAGTACAAAACTTCCATCTTTGGTTCAACTCTTTCAGTATGTGATTCTACAAACACTTTTCATCAAACATCTCATCTCACCTTCAATGCAGATAGAGGAAGTGTATGGCATGTGCGATCCAAACCCAACAGAGTATGTAGAACCCTATGCAAAGCAACCAAACATTGTATTTTACTGGGGACTACAGCTCAGAACTATAGATGTTTCGAACATAGAATCCGTGGAGACAGACTTTCTGAAGAATCTCAACAACGGAAGTTTCCAGGGACCAGTTGGTAGAATCCAGTTATCGGTTGTGAAAGCATCTCAGCTGCCAAAAAACAGCGAGTGTGGTAACAACAAAAGAAGCAAGAAGATGACAAAGGCTTGTTGGAGAATCCGGGAAAATAAGCAATGCAAGGAAACACCGGTTTACTCGCAGCATTTGCCCGGTTATGTGGTTGGGTATGAGAAGATGAATAACAGAGATACTGAGAGTTTATAGGTTGAATGTTAGGTTGTGTTAGTGATGGTCTTTGTCTGTTTTTGAGTTTTTGGCTGCTCTAGTTTGTAAATGTCTCGAGTAATCCAAATTGTTTGCAAAACAAGAATTTCTCTTGTTTTTTAGAACTTTAAAAAGAACCTTTCACTAATACAAGTAATAATTATGAAATAAGAATAACATTATAAATTGAATGTTTACATGATAGTAATAAACTATAAAAAGAACCTTGTGAATGAGAAACTTCATTTTATTTATTGATTTAAGGCAAACTTATTATTCAAACATATTTATACGAAATTAAGTTGGGATTTTAATAAAAGATGGCAATTGTGAACAATTCAGATTAAATAAATTTTTAAAAGAGAGAGGGGAAAGAATAGATATGTTTAGAATTTGAAGATGGCAGCACCACTTGAAGGCTTAGAGGCAAAAAGGTAAAGCTCCATATCTTCTTCCTTTACCACTCCTTTCTCTACTCTCTTTTTGTAGTATTTCTCCCTGACCGCGGCGATAAATTGAGAAACGCCTGACTCCTTAACTAAGGCCACGGCGCAACCACCCCATCCAGCTCCGGTCAGTCTTGCTCCAAGTGCTCCATTCTCTCTGCAAACTTGAACCAGTTCTTCTAGCTCGGGGCAACTGCGTGATTTTTCATCAAATTAAAGAACAATCCTTTATAACATTCACTGGTTTCACAATAACACTTGATCTTAAAAGTATGCACCTGCACTCGTATAGGACACTGCAGCTGTAATGGCTTTCGTTCATGAGATCACCAAGTTTCTTTAACTTCTCCTCATCACTGGCACAGTTAAAAAATGTTTCAAGGTCTTAAGGTTCTGACAATCTTGTACAAGAATATTCAGAATTTCCATGGTGAAAAGCGGTCTCACCTTAAATTTGAATAGACGGTGTCCTTGAAACCATGGACTCTCCGGGCTTCAGAATAAACGTGTGCAGCTCTCTATTGATGATGGTATGCAGAGTCTTATTGTTAAGAGTCAAGAAAAAAAAGAAAATGATATTCCACAGGTTTGTATATTTATATTTACCTGATGCAGTTTGAAATGCGTTGCAGCATTAAGTACAGCTAAAGATGTTGGATCGTTGTTCAAGATTGATGGTAATTTGTCCTCAACGATTTTCTCAATCTCCTCAGCAGTATATGGTTCTTCTTTCAGATATTCCTGCAACATAGACAAGAGCACATAAACATCAAAATGTTTGTCAAATCGATTGAATAGTAGAGATAAATAAACATCAAGCCGTCTGTTTAAGCAGATAATGATTGGATAAAGTACCTTAACAGCAAGAACAGGATCAGACGAACCACGATCACCAGCGAATGACACACATAACCCCTCCACATCAGAAAGAGTCTTCACTTTTGATATTGCTTCTTTTGGTTCCATTCCGAGCTTGATGCCAAGTATGATCTATATTTCCGAAGCCACATGGTAGAGAGAATCATGTGAAATCTAGGAAACAAAGTTAAAATATAGGGAAAATTTATGCTATGACTTACCGAAGCAAGTCGACATTCAACGACCCTGTTATTGTAATTCTTAGCAGCCGTGACCGCCTTCTGAGATTCAGCAAGAGAATGTGCAATTACGAAACTCCCTCCATCAGGGAGTTGCACATCAGTTGCGCGGACTGGGTTGAAGTCAATAAGCTCAGCAAATCCACTTTTAGCCATAATAGAGATTGCCTGTTGAAATGATTAAATTTGATCAATCAGAAACAGAGATAATACTGGGTGTGGGTAGGGATAGGTGATGAATTTTCCGAGAAAAAGACCTGGTCCATTCCACCAGATTGTGTTCCAATGTGTCGTTCACATTCGCAGGTAAGCTGTGCAAGTTCTTTCTGAATACAACAAAGACAGACAGAACTTAGAACATTCAATAATCAACAAGAGAGCTATGAAATTTCTTTCATCAAGCATGACTGAGTAATACCTTTTCAAATTTCTCACCAAATACAGCCATAATAGCAATCGTTGATGAGCAAACAAACGCAGCAGAGCTTGACAAACCAGAACCTAAATCAAAGAACTCCAGTTAAATCTTCAAGTTCAAGGGAAAAATGATATTATGATGTATATATTGGGAACTATACCTGTAGGAACAATTCCATCAACAATCACATCAAGTCCGACTGGTGAACCAAGATTCACGCCTTTCGACTTTGCATACTCATGGAACCCTTTGTACCTGCAAGAATATAAAATCATAAGACACCTCCAAAAAAAAAAGTGAGATCGCTTAGTTCCTGATCCCTTACGCGCATATGAAGTAATGACCCCATTTGTGATTCTGCAAGTCAATTTCCTGCAAAAATTAACATACATGATAAGTCAATAGCATTCTAGCACTATCAAATCTCTACTATACAGTGGGACAAACAGAGCAACAACGGAGTAATACAAAACAAAGACATAGTTTTTGCAGCTGTAATGCGAAAAGAGATGATCAGGACTAGAGAGCAGTAACCACCAGGAAGAAAAGACATTACCTGGTCAGGATCAGCAGGATATGTACACACAGAGTACTTATCATTAACATTCGCAATCCGAAGCTGCTTTTGATCCTCGGATTTCCGAATCGCAATAATCGTGTCCTGACGAATAGCCATTGGCAACACCGAATATCCCTCATAGTCGATATGCTCTCCAATCAAATTCACTCTTCCTGAACTCAACCACACACAAAACCAATTCTTCAAAAACTTCACAAAACCGATCCAACAACAATCCCAAAGGTTAACACTATCTAGAGATCACTTGATCTCATTTTCCTAGCCAATTCAAACAGAGTTAACACATGTTCTGTATTCGATTTTCGCATCATCATCATCAATACAGGAATTCGATATCAATCCACCCAAGGTCAACGAAATTGGTCTGATACGATTTCGATTTCGATTCGTTTTTGCGAAATTCAAAAGAAGAAACAACAGAGATTTTTACCTGGAGAGCGAGCGAAGAGTTGGGGAGTAGCACCGAAGACTTGGTCGAATTTTGCCTTCAAAACATCGAATCGTCGTGTAGCTTCATCGAGCTGAGATCCTTCGCCGTAGACATGCTCAAGAGACGAGAAGATCGGAACCGCAACTTCTTCCTGATTCGCCATTTTTTATCTCTCTCGAAACGATTTTTCACAGTTGTCACGAAATGTGTAATCTTGCTCATTGTTGTTTCCACCGATC